CATTAAGTTTCTTGTAGTTCTTACTAAGTTGTTTGAGTACCCTTAAAACCATTGCTTTGAATTCTTTATCTGACAAATTGCTTTCCTCTATTTCATGTAGTTCATTTTCTGGTGATTCCTCCTTTTCTTTTATTTTGGGGTTGTTTCTTTGTCTCCCCATTTTATTAATCTGGTAGCTCAGAGCCAGGTGAAGCGTGTTTAGCCATGTAGGCAGGTTGGTGTGTATCAGATAAAACTACAATGACTCCCAGTCTTGGTGTGGTAGCCTCCTTGTGGGACCATAGGAGTAGTCTTCTTTATCTTCTGAGTTCAGTGTTCTAGAATAGACCTTTGTGTGGGTTATGTGGGCTCTCCTGTTGAATTTGGGTCTTGATTGCTCTTGTTTATTTGTGGGTGGGCTCAGTCCTCAGGGTTGTTAACTATGAGTCGCAACCCTCGCCCTGTTGACCGTGTTGTGCCAACCATTATGTAGGTGTTAACAGGACAAAATAAAGCAACCAGATCAAACCAAAAAGATCTGCCCACAAATATCTACTTCAACAACAATAGAAGCAACCACCTCAGCAAAACGATTGAGAGGTACACAATAAAAAAACAAACAAAAAAAAAACACCTCATACTCACACAAGGAACACTAGGAGATGCGAGAGCAAAATCATTAGAAGAGGGGAAAAGGAAAAAAAATTGAAATAAAATAAAAGTAAAGAAGGCGATGCATAACCAGCCAAAAGCAAAAACATTAACTTGAACAATGAACGATACAAGCTCCAGGCTCAGCAATTTGATTAGAAGACAAACAAATTGAAAATACACACGCTCACACCAGGTACAAATAATGAACAATACTAGAAGGCATGGGACTGAACAACTTCAAGGGAGTAGAGAAAAAAATGTATATGAAAGTAAAGAAGGCAAGGCAATTGCAGACCAAAACAAAGGGCACCAGCTTCAGTGAAAAGCTTAAAGGACAACCAACCAGAAAACACACATACACACGTACATTAAAAGAACACTAGAGAGCATGAGACCAAAAGGGTTAGGAGATGGGGGGAAAAAAAAACAAAAATGAGAATATGAAAGCAAATAAGGCAGAGACCAGAAATAGGATAAGTATGAAAAATCAAAAGAAAATAATAAGTGAAATAATAATGATAATTTTAGAAGGTAGTCATGCAAATTTGAATAAAATATAGAATAGGAAAGTAGAAAATGGGAAAAGAATAAAAGAGAAGAAAACAATTGAGTAAAAAATAAAAAAAGCCCCCATACACCAAACCACCAACACAACAATAACAGGGAAAAAACCTTGGATTTGCTCTTTGTGGAGCTCACTGGAATTTTCTTTATTGTAGTTGGATCTGGCCCCTTGCATGTAGGTCCCTCTCTTCTTGGGAAGATCTCTGGTGTAGGTCAATGTGAATAACTGTCTCTCCCTGGTCCTTGGCCTCCTGGCTGGAGCCCTGCAGGGTGTGGTCCCAGGTAGTCCTATGAGCTGGGCTACCCTAACCCAGGGGCTGGGTCACCTTCAGGGCTAGCCACTTGTATGTATTTGTTCTGGGCTAAGGTCCCTTCCCCCCACAGCACTGGGCTCTGCAGTGTATCAAGTCCAATAAGGGTAGTTCACTCAGGTTTGTGTTGGGTTGGTGCCTGTAGCTTGCAGGTGAAACAGGCAGTCTCTTCCTCTTCTTCCAATGACTCAGTTCTGCCTGGAAGCTGGTGCCCCACCCCATACAGGTGAGAATAGAAAAAAAAAAGTAATGAAAAGAAAGAAAAAGAAAAAAAGAGAAATGCTCTGCTTGGCTCTTTGATCCTTAATTCAGCAAGGCCACCTGCACTGGGCGGGGCTACTGCCTGGGCTCCCACCTGGCTAGATGTTCAAATCCCCAACACGTCAGTCCCTGCTGCTGGGGTACAGATTTCCTGCCCTACACCTTATGCTGTTTACTGTTCACTGTTCACTGTTCACTGTTTCCTGGGGTGGGGGTTCTACCCCGGCTCCCTCCCAGCCAGAGGTCTGACTCCTCAGCATGTCAGGCACTGCCACTGGGGTGCAGATTTCCTGCCCTATGCTGCCACTCATTCTTAAACCCTTCTGAGCTCCCCCTGACTCTAAAAATAAATAATCATAAAGCGATATAATAGATAACACTGATCGAGCTAATAAGTATATGCCAGGAACTCTGCCAAATATTATATATATATATATAAAATCTTCTTAATCCTTACAAAACCCTAGGAGATAATTAATGTCATTCTCTCTGTTTTACAGATTAGAAATGAAGCGTAGAGAAATTGAATTAAGTGACTTGTCCAGGGTTACATAGCAAGTAGAAGTTTGAACTTGTGTTTTTAAGTAATATATCATGTCGTTTATCATGACATGAAAGAGCCCTTGTGATCTGGCTAGGACCTCATTTCTTGCCGTTTTGTTTCTTATATGAGCATGGCTGAACTTCTTATAAGGTTCTTTAACTTGATATTTTCATTCTCACTTTATACCTTTGAAAGAGCTGCATTTTTTTTTCTTTCCGGAAACCAATCTCCTCCTACCACTAGGTTTAGGAGCCATCTCTGTGCCCTTCTCTAGTGCTACAATGTTGTCAACATAGTATAATAATGGCCTGTTTCCTTTTCTGTTTTTTGGCTAACTTGCTCCTGGATCCCCAGGATATAGTATATGACTATCTGGCACATAGTAAGTATATGAGCAGTTTTTGAAAAAAACTAGTAAGTTGAAGAAAAATAGATATGTGAGAAGTCAACTCATAGTATTATTAACTAGTATGTATGCAATATGTATGAAAATAAAGTGGGTTAACGAGAGGAGAAATATAGGTGGCCCAAAGTAATAAAGAAAGCCTTCTTTTCCACTAAGGTAGAATGTTTTTGTCATCTCCACCTCTCCTTCAATTTTGACTTTATTTGAATATATCTACTCTCATTGTCTATCCTTGTTTATTAGTTACTTCATTTCATGTTGATTTTCCTAGTCTCATTTTTAAGTCATTTTATAGACACTTCACCATTTCATTACTTTTAGCTTCTTGCTCCTCTTCACCTCTCTGTCTGCCGATCCTGCCCGTTCTATTAATTTTCTTTTTCTTTTTACTCTACCATAGTTTTAAGCACTTTAGTTTTACACAAAAGTTAAAGTCAAAAACAGATTGGGGAGCCTCACCAAGTGAATCTATACTTTTGTTGAAATTTGGACTCATAGATTAAAACAGATCAGACTATAGACTGAATATATTAAATAAGTCTAATGTTAATTAGTTTCTCAAACATAAAAAGCAGGTGTGCTTCAAAACACTATCAGATTACACAGCTGGAATTCTCTAAAGCGTGTATATATATATATATATATATATATATATATATATATAAAAATGTATGTTACTCATTTTCTTTATGTCTAGTTTTCAGTGCCTTGGTGTGAAATTTGTCAAAATCTTGCTGCATATACTAGCTGTGGAAGTTGTAAGAGTTTTATGAGCCTTGGCCAGTTTTGCTCAGCGGTTAGAGCGTCGGCCTGCGGTCCCGAGAGACCCGGGTTTGGTTCCTGCTAAGGGCATGTACCTCGGTTACAGTTTGTCCCTGGCCCTGGTTGGTTGTGCGGGTGGCAACCACTCGATGTGTCCCTTTCACGTCGATGTTTCTCTCTTTCTTCTTCCCACTCTATCTGAACAAAAAATGGAAAAATGTCCTCGGGTGAGGATAAAAAAAAAAAAAAAAAAAGTTTTATGAAGTAAAATAGGACAATTCCTTAATAATATAAAATTTAAAAGATAAAGATAGAATGTGGGGTTGTTACAGTTTTAAAATTTGTTTTTGTTTTGAGATGTGTACCATTTAGTATATTTTGTTTAATGTAGGTAAATAAATTTGATGTTTGACTTGGTTCTTTTCAACTTACTAAGTTGTTATGTAAATGTTATCACCTTTAGTACTTTTCTTAATTTAAAAAAAAATGGTGTTTTATTTGTTGCCAGTTACAGACTTTTTAGTAACTGATCTTTCCTTCTTTTCACCTCATTTTTCTACCACTTTTATATGCAGCCAAATGAGTTTGACTGCTGTTTATAAAACAAAGAGCTACTTGTGACCAATCTTTTATTTCAATTTGATAATAGAAAAATTCATTTCAAAGTAATACTTCACTGTCTTTGTATTACATAAAGCAAGTTGCCTGATGACTTGGCTTAAGTTAGCCAGGGTAAAGACTGGAAAACAAAAATGAGGAATATTCATTCAGTACATCTGAGTGAATGTAAAGTGCTGCTGGCTATTCACACTGTAATCCTTTGTTCTCATTATTTGCTTTAAGATAAATTGAACTTGATTTTATTTATGAGAACTTACAAGTAGAAAATATTTTCTATATTTTTATTGAACCTATTTTTAAAAATGATATTATATACTAAAGTCATTGTTCTCTATACCTTGGTTTGTAATTATTGATTTTTTTTTAATTTGACTTTTTTGGATGGATATATTTTTCTTTTTGATGAGGACCAGTTGTAGTCTATTTATTACAAGAATCAAGAGTTTATCAGATTTCTAATTATAACTTATTTGAACTCTAGTATAGTCTATCCTACTTACTTTATAACAAATTTATTTGAAAATTCAGATTTTCTAATTCAAGGAGTTATTTAGAAGGTAAAAATAATCCCAAATGCAAGTAGTATATGTACCATTTGCTTCCTTTTAATATCTGTGTTCATTGATTATTGATATAGTCAATGTATATACATCACTGAGGAAATACATCTATGACAGCAGTCATTCTCTTTATATATTTTAGCCATAATTGTTTTCTGCGCTTTGGTATTTTGTATCTGTGTTTTATATGTGGATTTAAATTGTTTTCTAAATCTGATTTTATACTCTGAATAAAAACAGGGAATCTCTCTAAATGTGTAAAAACATTAGATACTTGATCAGAGAAGGAAATATAGTGGTAGAAATGTATACTTAACTGTATTTTCTTTGTGTAACAGCACTGAAAAGAGGCGCAGGGAGCAAGAAAATAAATACTTAGAAGAGTTAGCTGAGTTATTGTCTGCAAACATCAGTGACATTGACAGCTTGAGTGTAAAACCAGACAAATGCAAAATTTTGAAGAAGACAGTTGATCAGATACAACTAATGAAGAGAATGGAACAAGGTAAAACAAACAAAACAACTATGGCTTTGTTATTAAAAACACTGATAGTATGTGATTTTTATTATTAAGAAGTTGCATTGAACTTCATAATTTTATTAAAGAAACATTTTTGTTTAGTTTTTATTTATTTTAGAAAGTAAATCTGAGAGCCTTTTTATTTTGAGAAAGTGGCTTATTAAAAACTGGTTGCCTTGTGAGGTTATGGGATCCAGTGTCATAGGGCATAGCATCAAGATACACAAATTATGGTATCAGATCTGAGGTTCTGACAGAAAACTGAGAGACAACAACTCAGTAATAGAAAAATCCTTCCATCTGAATAATAAGCTTGTCTCTGCCTGGGTTCTGGGAAAATCCTGATATATTTTTATGATTTATATACTATTCATATTTACTAGGGACCCCCACACCACAAAACTCCCGGATTGCCTACCAGAAACTGAAGCAAAACTCTTTGGAGAAATACTCCCACAACCTGACCCCAAGAGCTTCTGAGGGTGACTTTATACTAAAAATGATTATAACCTATGAGGGACTAATCTGTGGTGAATAAAGAGCACGCATAACTAACAGAAGAACTAGACCCAAAGGAACTTCAGATTAGTAGAAGTAGTGTGAAAAGACTATAAACAAATATGTTTAAAATGTTTAAAGTGGTATGAGTTGAAAATTTTGGAAGCTGGAAAATGGCTAATAACAACTGATTTAGTAGACAGGAGAAACTGAGAAAAAGGTATTCTGAGCCTGTAAAGGGGGGAGTCAACAAGAGGCATATGGCCCCTTCCCTGCTTGGTCGATCTCAAAACTGACCACCTGACTCATAGTCCCTAAGTCTAAGGTGGGAGGATCCCTGTGGGGAAATTGAGCAGTCCAAAGGAACAGACACATGAACACTTACAGTTGTGAATGATCCCCAAGTGAAAAAAAATCAACTCCTTGCCTTGCCCCTACACAGCTGCCAGTCAGCACTTGAGTTCATCACTCTTTAATATGAATACAAATCCAAATACTTGAGGAAAGCCTGTAATACAAAAGAGAACAAACTAAGCAAACACACAGAAATAAAAGTAACTCAAGAAAACAGAGACAATGCAGAGAGCAGAAGAAAACTTAAAACTATTAAACAATCCCTTAGAGACCAAAGGAAAGATATTTTATTCATGAAACAAAAAGAACATGTTATAAATTGAAACTTTCAAAATAAGAATAAGTAACCTAATTAAAAATGGGCAAATAGACATTGCCCCAAAGAAGACATATAGATGGCCAGTAAGCACAGGAAAAACATGCTTGATATAATAGCCAGCAAAGAAATATAATCAGAACCACAATGAAAGACCACTTTACACCCACAAAACAATAATATATTATTCACAAAATCATATATATGTAGTTCAAGTATAAAAACATGCTTAGAAATTATTGTTGTGACCTCAGAATACTGGTTACTTCTTCTGAAAGGGGCAGAAGAGGAATGGTGGCAGAGCTTTCGCTCTGTTTGTAGCATTGTGTTTATTTAAAAAGGAAGGAACTGAAGCAAATAATGTTAACATCAGCGAGAAATGAATGGTATCTATGTGAATGTATGCTATATCATTTTCTGTATTTTTTGAAATATTTAAAATATTTGATTTTTTAAAGTAAAATAATGAATCTCTGTACTCAATACTATATTTGGTTTTTGGTGAACTAACTTGTCTGACAGATTAGAAACTTTTATTTAATTATGATGCTGCTTTAAGATGTTAAATGACTTTTCAACATCATCACACAAAAGAATTTCAAATAACTTTAGCAGTTACAGTTTTACCAATCAGATCATCATGATAGGAATGTGAAAGGTTAGCTGTTTATGCAGACTCACAAAAAGAAAAATTGTATCTTCACTTTCTCTTCAGTAGCAATCGATAAATCAGAAAAGAAAAAAGAAAAATGACAGAAATAATCACTCTTTAACAATTTATCTATTTCTTTCAAATTTTTGGTGTAGATTTTTAAAAAGGCTTAGAGTTATACCATTTTTCTCACTGTTGGAAAACTGGACTTGGTAGGTCAGAATTCAAATCCTACTGCCACTACTTAGTTACAGCATTATTTGGACACATTACTTAACCTTTGTGACCTTCAATTTTATCTTCTATAAAATGCATATCATTAAGACTAAATGTGAAAGTGCCTAGATGGGCTGTTTTCAACTGGTGTGATGTAAGAATTTTTAAAACATGCAATACTTGACTGTTTAGTTATAGGCGCTGACCCCTTTTCCCTTACATTGTCAAATTTAAAAATGACAATGGTCGCCCTGGCCGGTTTGGCTCAGCGGTTGGAGCATTGGCCTGTGGACCAGAGAGTTCCGGGTTTGGTTCCCTCTAGGGGCATATACCAAAAAAAAAAAGACAATAGTCAACACAATAGCCATCCGGTGTGAATGAATCAAATTATACCTTTGGTTTTTTTTTGTCATATTGGCAAAAAATATAATATATTTTTTGGTGTGCTGCAAAATTTTAATTATTTATGTGTGCCACAAGATGAAAAAAGTTGAAAATCGCAGGCCTAGATAATAAATACATGTTATTTGAATCTGAAATTAAGTGAGTCTGTGTCTTCTTAAACTTGCCATTATGGAAATGAGCCTGTTTTTGGATGTGTGACTTTTTGGTTCTTTATTGTAGAGAAATCAACAACTGATGATGAAGTACAGAAATCAGACATCTCATCGAGTAGTCAAGGAGTGATAGAAAAGGAATCCTTGGGACCTCTTCTTTTGGAGGTAGCTGTTCTCATTGACTCGGAAAGTGATCAAAATCTTTGTTCTAACCAATCTGGGTTGTTGTTTTTTCTCCCTTCTTTTGTGTCTTATATCCAATTAACAAATTATAAAACAAAGTAAAGTTTTAAAGAACTTTAATAGTTACTTTATTTTGGAAACTATTTTGACAGTTGTTACTATTTCAGAATTAAATGTGAATAATGATCATAAGAAATTTTCATTAAGGCATTCTAAATAGTCAAATGGAAAACTGAAGCCAACTGTATGGCTTTACCATTTATTTCTCTGGTGTTTAGGACTAGTTGGGAAATTAAAACAGAATTATTTAGCTAGCTAGTGCTATATGTATGTCTACTGTGGAATTTTGTCTTTGAATAAGGATGCCTCACTTATTGCAATAGGTGTTTTCCAATCAAAAATTTGTTAATTGTTTATGGAAACATTGTAAGAAAACGTATTATTTTAACAACCTTCTATCAAACTTTTTAAAGTAAAGAACTTTTAAATAGGAATTACATTGTAATTGCTGTGTAATTTCATCTCTACTTTTTCTATTTAATCTTTACTCCCTCTATTCTCAACACAGATGTTTCATTTCCAAGCAGGCTCATCACCTTAAATGTTCGCTCTCATACATGAATGTTTAAAAACATATATAAGTTTTTATACATACTCATTCCCTGCAGTGTATACTCTTCTCTCTCTAGGCCTAATTTTATTTATATGTGTTTATTATATACATATACATATATGTATTCATATACATATATGAATATATATATTCATATACATGTATTTATATTTTATAAATAAAGTAGACACATAAATACAGATACCAAATACATTCTTCTTTCCTTGTCCTGGTGAAGGTATTTCTAAAAAACTTGTTTATTTTCTAACTTCTTCATACATTCTTTCCTATTACCCTAACTATTTCTGTGTCTTTGTATTAACCATAATTACCTCCACTAACACTACTGATGTGAGAACATTCTCAAAGTTCAGTTCTTGCCTTTCTGGTTCCAGAAATATGTATTCTCTTTGCTTCACCTTTTTTTTTTTCCTTTTTTATCCTCACCCGAGGACCTTTTTGCATTTATCTTGAGATAGAGCGGGAGGGAGAGAGGAAGGAAGAAAGAGAGAGAAACATCGATGTGAGAGAGACACATCGAGTGATTGCCACCCATATGACCCCAACCAAAGCCAGGAACAAACTGCAACCGAGGTACATGCCCTTAGAGAAACCAAACCTGGGCCTCTCTGGTCCACGGACCGAAGCTCTAACTGCTGAGCCAAACTGGCCAGGGCTTGCTTTACCCTTTATCTCAATAGAGATGACATCTTGCTTTAACCTCTTCCCATACTCCATTTCTATACTTTTAACAGGCTGCTAAATATTTTCAACTCTCCTATTAGCATCTTTTCCCTCAAAATCTAAATTATTTCTTTTCTTCCATGTTACACATGCACTCGTAGACTTACTATTGGTTTTAATGACTTTTATTAAGGGAATGAGCACATATTTGTTTAGAACTGGAAAACATAAAAGACATTGGATACTGGATAAAAACTTCTCTCTGAACCAGTGCATGCATACACATCTAAGTGGGAGGGGGGAAGCGACCACATGTGATGGACTCTGATTTTTTTACTATATTCTTTTCACAAACTAGTAAACATGACTGCATTTTGGAAACAGTCTTGTAACAAGTATAGTAAAAATGTTAATGATAGAATCTAAGTAGTGGATATACAGATGTTCACCACACAATTCTTTCAACTTTGCTATATTTTGAAAAAATTTAATATAAGCTGTTAGAGGAAAATAAATTAAAGAAAGAAAGGTACTTTAGGCTCATTTCTCACTTCTACCCCATCTCTTCCCCCTGCTTGGCCCCTGTCACCATCCCACTACTTGGTTACACTTGGGTCCCTCCTGGAGACCTGATCTAGCCCAGTGTTTACTGCTCATCTCTGCTACTCTGCAGGGTGTTAATAGACTAATCTTTTCATATCATCTAGTTTTTCTTTGAGAGTTCTACCTGCCATCTTAGTGCCCTGAGTTTAAAACTGGCCCAAGAACCTTCCATCCCCTTTCATTTCATTAAATATGTATTAAATTTATTTTCTGCATATAATGTCATTTGAGATCATGAATAAATATAAGGTATAGAGGGCCTTGAGGTTTCTGGAGTTTCTGCAGGAAATAGTAATCATTTTAATCCTAGTTCCACACATTCTTCAGAAATCACAGAAATCAACAAGGAGAGCAAATAGATTGTCTACAAACTGAAAACAGCACAACTGAAGACAGAAGACTGCTACTTCCTACTTTAATTTATATAAACATTTGTTATTGCTGCATGAGGAAAGTCCACAACACTGTAAAATGAATAGACATGGCAGCAAAACATCCACCTAAAACTACAAGAAAACAAAACAATATCTATTTTTTAGCTGGTGAAATTATTACCCTGAAAACCACTATGAATCAAAGGAAAACTGTAACAAAGCATTACACGAATAAATTGCCGGTAGGCAAGCATTTTCAAATGTGAAAAAACAAACAAACATCAAATTAGAAATTCCAAAAACTCAGAATAGAAATGTATTTAGGTTCTTGACTCCAAGGAGCAAATACTATTTTGTATTTATGAGCTATAGATATATGAAACAGTGACTATAAAATAGAATTACTGACTTCATAGTTGCCTTCATAGATAGCCTTTTCTAGTCCTCTTCTGTATCCTCCAACCCGTCCTTGTTGCCTTAAACTTTGTAGAGTCCAATTCAGGGCAGCCAATAAGAGATAGTAAAAAGCCACCATGAGATTGTCCATTGAATCATTCAGGCTGCAGTTTAGTGCTGCATTGTTCAGTAAGATAGCCACTAACCACAGGGGGCTATTCGAAGTTAAATAAAATAAATTCAGTGCTTCATTCTCACCAGCCACTTTAAAGTGTTCAGTACCGTCTGGCTGGTGTGGCTCAGTGGTTGAGCATCCACCCATGCACCAAGTGGTCGCCGGTTCGATTCCTGGTCAGGACACATGCCCAGGTTGTGGGCCAAATCCCCAGTGGGGAGCATGCAGGAGGCAGCCAATTGATGATCTCTCTCATTGATGTTTCTATCTCTCTCCTTCTCACTTCCTCTCTCTCTAAAATCAATAAAGAAAAATAAATAAATAAATAAATAAATAAATAAATAAATAAATAAATAAAGTGCTCAGTGCCCACATGTGGTTAGTGACTGCTGTATTGGACAATGCAGATATAGAATATTTCCAATGTTGCAGAAAGTTCTATTTTACAGTATTGATCTGGGGGGGACTTGCTCAGATAGATCTGCACTTCTAAAGCGTGTCCAGATATCCACCATGATAGGAAAAAGTCTCACCAACTTGTCTTACCTTACCTTTTTAAAGCATAAAAATAACATGAGTTAAAAATGAAGGTATTGGAGGTAATTTCCTCCTATTTAAAGAGACAGTGGCATTACAATTTATTATTCAACAAATATTTGTTACTTGACCCATGGTAAGTACTCTCAGCACAGGCATTTTTTCTTAAGCTCTTCATTTTCCATTACTCTGTGCTGTCTAGATTCTGTTGCCTCCTATTCAGAGATCTGTTATCTGACTCTAATGCTTCTTAACCCACCCCCCCCCCCCCGCACTCCCCCACACAAATACACTCCCCAAGAAAAATTCTCTTTTTGTCACAGAGGTCTCCCTACATCTTACATGAGCATCTGGACCTCCTTACCTGGCTTTATACCATTCCCTACTTTGCATCTGGCTCTTGGCACTGTTGGCCGCCCTCTCCCTCTTCCTTAAAACTCTTCCTGTGGCATCTTTGATAGAGCCTCTCTTCTCTGGCAATTCCTCAGCTTCTTTCTCACATTTCTGTTTCTTTACCTTCCTCTTATGTTAGCATCCTCCAGGGTTCTGGCCTTGACTTTTTCTTTTTTAAATTCTGTGCACATTTCCTGGACAGTTCGATCTACCTCTATGTCTATATGATGTATTCATATATATGTGTGTGTACATGTATGTGTGCATGTAAAACATCAATTAGAGTTCTTTGGCTTTGAAGCACTAGACACCGATTCTGACTAAATTAAGTAAATGTAAATTTATTGGAATGCTATTTGGATATCACTGAACCATGCTTGGAAATAGGATAAAAACAAAGTATCTTAAGGAGGCTAGAAAGCAGAAACTATACAATGGTCTCAGAAAGACCCATTTGGGCTATACCCTGCTGCTGGAATGAATGCATTCCAGCCAAGTTATTCTTTTTGTAATTCTCTGCAAGTTTCACAGTTAGGGAGAAAGTCTCCCAAGTGGCCTGATTAAGAACCCCACGAGATTTTTATTTACTAAGGAAGAAGTAACTCCCCAAAGGAAATCAGATATTCTTTGGAAGGGGAAAAAATGATGGTAGTTAAAAACAAACAAACAAACAAATGATACAAGCACCTTTAAATTGCATTAATCCCTCTTCAGAGCTTCCCTTTCACTCTAGCCTGCTGCCTTCTGAGCATCTTCATCTGAGTGCTCCTCAGCCATTGCAAATAGAACATTTCTAAAACTAGATTTACAGTCCTTCCCTTTACCTTCTGTTTATACAAAGCCAAAAAAATAAAAGACTAGAGCCCCTCTCCCCCCCTCCCAAATCTCCTTTCTCAGGGAAGGACACTTATCTACCAGAACCCTAAAGTCATTAATGAAGAATCACCTCAAATGCTTATTCTCACAGGTGCTACAAGTGACCAAGTGCTGTTTGTTCTGTCTCTGTCAAATTCTCGGCTGTCACTCACACCGCTGTGGCCTTAATTCAAGCTCTCATTTGAACTGGAGTATCACAATAGCATTGCAGCCGGTGCCCTTGCTTCCAGTCTTCACACCATACCCACTGCCAGAAAGGCCTTTGTAAAAGTGGATCATGTCAATCTCCTATAAAAATGGTGCCTTCAAGATAATCCCCATTGTCTTTAGGATAAATTCCTTTTTTGTTGTTATTTAATCTTTAACAAATGTTACTGTTAAATATAACACAAATATTACAAGTGAATACTAAGTGATTTTTTTTTCAACCTCTGAACTGTTCCCTCTGTTTTGAATGTCCTCTCACCTCTCATCTACCTGAATTACTGCTCTGTGTCTTCCAAGTTTTGGCTCAGGTGTACGGTGGCCTTTTCCTAGGAAACCTTACCAATGATAACCATTCCTTCACCAATTCTGGGTGCTTCACTCTGGTGTTTTAACCTTTATGAATTTTTCTATTGTACTCTATTCTGGATCTTCTCTTAGGATTCCACGGTTTGTGATATGACTGTCAGAACTGAATGATGTACTGGGTATCATTATGTTTATTAAGCTTAACTTCTTCCTTATGTTTTGGATTGCAATATAAATGGAGGTTCTAACTTTTTTCCTGCACCCCTGTGGATATTCTGCTCCCCTTGGGGCACATACATCTCCTTTTGGAAACCCCTGGCTCTATCTCAGTTCATAGGAGACCCTCTGTAATTTGGGCTTCCTATGCACTGTCATGCTGTCCCCTCAGCCTAGAATGTTCTCTCTTCCTCTTCCCCTCCTTGACTACTCCTTTTTTTTTTATCCTCACGTGAGGACATTTTTCCATTTATCTTCAGATAGAGTGGGAGGGAGTTGGGGGGTGAGAGAGAGAGAGAAAAACATCAATGAGAAAGAGACACATCGACTGGTTGCCACCCGCACTATCCCAACCAGGGCTGGGGACAAACCACAACCAGGGTACATGCCCTTAACTGGAATTGAACCTGAAATTCATTGGTCTATGGGCTGAGCCAAACCAGCCAGGGCACTTGACTATTCCTTTTATAATTAAGGTAGGGATCTGTAATGAGTCTTTCTCCCCCTCCCCCAACCCCTACCCCCAAGTAAAGTATCCTCCTTTGTGTTCACAGAATAGTCTGTATGTCTCTGACACTGAGTGTATCACTGGGATTTTATTATGTTTATGTCTCTCCCACTCTGCCTTAAGTTCCTTGAGGGTAGAAATGAGTGCATGTGTCACTCACTTCACATCTGCTACAATAAAATATCTCTCTAAGAAAGAAAGTTGATGCCCTGGCCGGTTTCGCTCAGCAGTTAGAGCGTCAGCCTGTGCTCCAGAGAGACCTGGGTTCATTTCCCAGTAAGGGCACATACCTCGGTTGCAGTTTGTCCCCAGCCCTGGTTGGGTCGTGCAGGTGGCAGCCACTTGATGTGTCCCTTTCATGTCGATGTTTCTCTCTCTCTCTCTTCTTCTCTCTCCCTCCCGCTCTATCTGAATAAAAAAAAAAAAAAGGAAAAATGTCCTCGAGTGAGGATAAAAAAAAAAAATAAGTTGACATGTTCATTTATGCCTGCTTGAAACATTAGTGTACAGTCTGTGTAAAAATCCCATCCCGCCCTGGCCGGTTTGGCTCAGCGGATGGAGCATTGGCCCACGGTCCAGAGAGACCTGGGTTCAGTTCCCGTTAAGAGCACGTACCTCTGTTGCAGTTTGTCCCTGGCCATGTGGGTGGCGACCAGTTGATGTGTCTCTCTTACATCGATGTTTCTCTCTCTCTTCCTCCCTCTCTTCCTCTCTCCCTATCTGAGGATGAATGCAAAAGTGTCCTCAGGTGAGGATAAAAAAAAAAAAAATCCCATCTCGTCCACAGAGAGCATAAAACAGTAAATCTTCTACTCAGCCCCCTCCTTTTTTTTAACTTAACATCTATTTCTGATCTCTTTTTCAGTGCAGAAATGTGTGTGTTTATTTTTCTTTTATCTTTTAATCTCCCAACCTCTTAATCACCGCCCCCCCCCCCCCTTTTTTTTGGTGTTACAGGCTTTGGATGGATTTTTCTTTGTTGTGAACTGTGAAGGCAGAATTGTATTTGTGTCAGAGAATGTGACCAGCTACTTGGGTTACAATCAGGAAGAATTAATGAATACCAGTGTCTACAGCATACTGCATGTGGGGGACCATGCAGAATTTGTGAAGAATCTGCTTCCAAAATCACTAGGTACAAAGAAATGTATTTTTAAAAAGAATATGAACTCTCTGTAGCTTCTCCTTACGTAAATATATTATTATTATATTTAAAATACATAGTATTATTGTAATGTAAATTATAATAGAAAAATATTTTAAAATTTAGTTTTAGCCTGAGATGTAAATATGAAGAGGGATTGTCATTGAATAGCTGATAGAGAGCATCCCTTTTTTCCTCTTCCTCCAGATTATGCCACAATCACGTGATAGTAGTGGGAGGTGGAATAGAAGCTTTTGCTTGAAATTCCCTGTTTTCAAATTTTTTTTTTTATAAGAGAAAAATCATAAGCATGTTGTTTTGCATCAATTTCTTTTTGAGACTTACATTTTGTTTAAAATTTTCTGTCATCATTTGTAGATGTGAAAGTTTGGGGCTATCCAGTACTGCTACTCTTTGGTTCTTTTTTTTTTTTAATTTATTTTTGTTATATCCAATTTTTATTATGTCCAAGCAAGAGAGAAAACCGTATGCTTCCCACCACCCTGCTCAAAGAGAAAAAAGGGAAGTGGAAGGGAAGAAGAAAAGAAAGAAGAGAAGGGAAGAGTGGGAGGGAGGGAGAGATATACTGTCATATTAAAATAAACCTCTTTAGATGTAAGTGGTTTCAACTCAGGAGTTCCAGGTATGGTTGAACATGTTGCTCAGTGACAAAGGAGCCTAGCTTAGAGGATGGATGGGGTCTGATTACCAGCCTCTCTGTTTCATTCACTAAGCCAAGTGCCTACTCTTTAGCCTATATATACTCCAAAGTAAGGAAAGGACCTTGGCTAGAAATTCTATATAACTAAACCAAACATGCAAATAAAATGTTATCTATGCATTGCTTTTTTATTTTCTACATTCTTTACTTTATGGAATGGAAGACTTATTTGTTCTTTGAAAGGAGTACTATGTGTTTATAGTAACTGGGGGCCTGAAATGATTGTTTCTGTTAAAATCAGTAGTTTGATATTTGAATTATCAAGGGGTCTTGTGTGTCTTGTTATAAAATATTAGAGTGTAAATGACTTTAGAGATCATAAAGTGGATTCCTTTATTTTAAAGATGAGGCAAAGATTAAGTAATTAACCCTAACTTCACAACTAGCTCATAGCAGAAGCATAGATTTGTTTCCATGATTTCCTCTAACAGTTATAGAGTGACGAGATAGTAAAAAAGAAGAAGGGTCGATGGAAATGGTGATCCGCCAAACAGAAATTCTTTTCCTTTCTGTAATTCTAGAATTCAATGTTCTAACACAGAATCAGTGACATTTCTGTTTTAATGGCCATTTTTATGTAATAACTTTTTGATTACCCACAATATTCAAGGTATTATAGCATATAAATTGTGAAAATAAAGTGCAAAAAAAATGGTTATAAGAAACCAAGATTGTTCTCTATCTGTTCTAAGTATTTTTTTGAATCACAGACTCCTTTGAGAAACTTTGAATCCAAATAGGTGCACATACACACAAACCCATCCTTAAGGTTTCACACCTGTCAGGTTAAAACTCCTGCTTGACAATGGGCCTTTGGTTTTTAATCTTTTTTTTTTTTTTACTGACAGAATATAATTAGAAACAAATGGAAAAGCTTATTAATTAACTGCTATTAAATTCTGAGTAAGCTATTGATATTTTAAATTTTGTCTTTGACTGTTTATAAAGACTGTTAATAAATTAGGGTACTTGTAAGGCCTTATCTTTGAGATGGGAATTACTATACAGTCTCTTAGAAATTTTATAATTTTCAAATTGGTAGATATTTCGATTTGCTAAGGAAGATAAGTATCCTGTTGGATCAGAATAATGTTAGATCTGTCTTTTAATCTGAATATCTAATTAAACTGATGACTGAAGAGGGGTGTCTTTTGTTATCTTTAGAGTTTGTACATTTTTACTTTATTCACAGAGATATAATCAATTTTTCTTCCACAGTAAATGGAGTTCCTTGGCCTCAAGAGGCAACACGACGAAATAGCCATACCTTTAACTGCAGGATGCTAATTCACCCTCCAGATGAGCCAGGCACTGAGAACCAAGAAGCTTGCCAGCGGTATGAAGTAATGCAGTGTTTCACTGTGTCACAGCCAAAATCAATTCAAGAAGATGGAGAAGGTAAAACAAAGGAGTATTTTAAGGTTTTTGGTTGCTTTTTTCATGGCTTTCAGGAATAGGGAAGTAAGTGATTATAAAAACTGCCTTCTTCAGATAGTATTTTAGGTTACTATAGTGTATATCATAATGGCTATTCAATTTGCTATTTATTTCTTAATACTTAAGAGAAAAATGCTAATATCTATAATCACCCCTTAAAGATGCCCCCAAATTCTCAATTTTAAGCTGGCATTTTCACTGAAATGTTAAGTTCAAACTAACATGCTGCCTAGAAATAAGAGATATCACTAACTGCTGCCAGTTAGAAACATACCAGATGCAGCAGGCTGTTGAACAGCTCTGATTTTTTTAAAGTTTCAAGTTTAGAGTGTAGGGAACACTGGAGAATAGAGTTAGTATTTTTGAGGCCATACCAGGTAATTTATAAGGAGAAAGCTTATGAACAGATGAAAACACAGCCAAAGCTCTAATATGAACATGGTATCAACATGGCATTAGTTAAATATGTGACAGTGGATGAGTTTTCCTTGTGAACTTAGACTGAGCTAAGCTAAGAATATCACTAATCGGAAACTGGAGTAAGGACCAGGGAAGGTAGGAGACAGGAAGTCAGATGCAAAAAAAAATGCAGTGTATAAAGCTGGTCTCGGGTGCCACGATCAGCTGGGGACTTTTTATAAAATGCATGTACAGGGCTGCTTTATATGATTAAAGTTCATATTGAGCTGTGTGGTATTGTGTGTAGCATATGCAAAAAATTTGGAACTGGAACTTTGAAAAAAATTATAGATCCTACAGCATAAAGTCCTCTGTCAAGGGCAAATTATACTTCTTCAGAAAGAGTTAAAAAAAATTTTTCCCTCATATGATAATTATCTGCTGTAGTTTTGCCTAGATTTAAGCAACACAGTGGATTTTTTTTTTTTAGAGACAGAGGAAGGTAGAGAGAAATAGAAAAATCAATGTTAGAGAGAAACATTGTTTGGCTGCCTCCTGCACACCCCCTCCTGGGGATCTAGCCTGAAACTCTGACCAGGAATCGAATCGGGACCTCTCAGTCCATGGTACAAGCTCAGTCCACTGAGCCACACTGGCTGGGCAACACAGTGAATTTTTAAATACAGTTCTATAGTCAATTTTCTAAACTCATCAGTACTTAATGGCTATAAAATTATTCTTATTTATAAGAATATTTATTATTTTTTAAAAGAACACTTATTTAATTTTTAACTTTTTATTTATTGATTTTAGAGAGAGAGGAAGGGAGAGAAAGAGAGAAGCATCAATTTGTTGTTCCACTTATCCATACCTTCATTGGTTGATTCTTGTATATCCCCTGACTGGGGATTGAACCTGCAATCTTGGCATATCAGGATGATACTCTAAGCAACTGAGATACCAGACCAGGATTTAAGAATAATTTTTGTAGCCAGTAAATAATGATGAATATAGGAAATTGACTAGAGAACTGTATTTAAAAATTCACTGTGTTGCTAATTTCTAGGCAAACTACTTCTTGAGTTGTTACATCCAAGTACATAAGACACATCAGTTTCCTCTAGCTTATGTAAGAACATCGAATGGGAAGGGATAACTTATGCTAACTACATCTCTACCTGGAGCTGCCTGTTTCTGGTTGCCAACAATTTTATTTCTAGTATTATACTGTTAAATCAGAGCAAATCCAATATTATGTCAGATCCTATAAAATGTATTATTTCTATAAAAACTGATAATGTCAAGTAATAGATTGTGAACCATTTTCTACCCTCTTTCCTTCATTTTCCCTTTCTCGTCTTGGGCAGATTTCCAGTCATGTTTGATTTGTATTGCACGGCGATTACCTCGGCCTCCAGCTATTACGGGTGTAGAATCCTTTATGACCAAGCAAGATACTACAGGTACTAACTGCAAAGTTCAAAATGTTCCATCAGTATTAATGATGGGGCTATGCTTTTAAAACTAATTACATCCAAAATTTGGTGTCCGTTTGTTCTCTTCTGTTTGGCTTATGTTCACTAGTTTTATACAGAAAACATTTTAAATTGTGGTTTTGATATTGTGTATTTTATTTATTGTAATCATTGTCATGAGCAGGATGCTGGAGAGAATGTTATTTTATAACTATTCACATACTTATATATGTTTTGATTATAAATTATTTTTCATAATCACGGAATAAAGTTTTTAAAGAAATTTGGCAATGTAGATTTAAATATACTTATTTATAAATGGATATAAGTATGGTGGTTTTAATATTACACTTAAAAGTATCTGGCTATTTTCTTCCTCTTCTTTTCTTTAATCGTCACCTGAAGATATTTTTGCATTGATTTTCAGATAGAGTGGAAAGGAAGGGGGGGGAGAGAGAAACATCGATGCGAGAGAGACACATCGATTGGTTGCCTCCTGCACAACCCCAACCAAGGCCAGGGATCGAAGGGCAACTAAGGTATGTGCCCTTGACTGGAATCGAACCTGTGACTCTTTGGTCCACAGGCTGACACTCTAACCACTGAGCCAAACTGGCCAGGGCTATTTTTCTTCTTTATTCTTTAAATGTATGCAGCCCATAATTTTTGGATGTCTAGAAATGCCTGTCACTGTGTGTGATTGCTCAGGGTTTACGTGGTTGAGCAAAAGGCTATGATGTAATTACAAATTATGATATGTTGTATGATAGATAAGGTATGAGATGGCAAGGTGAGCTGATAGGGAGGACCTATTTGAAAATCAGCTGGTTAATGAAGACCTGATGAGCTGATATTACACCCTTAAGCCCTGAAGGATGAGGTAGTGCCTATTATGGGTATTGGAAGTGAGTGGTAAGGAGGGGGCATGGTGTAGAATGAGTGTTCCTGATTAAGGAAACAGAGCTGCAGAAGCCCTAAGGAACAAAGAGGTATGTTAGCAGAACTGAAAGAAGGTACTAGAGCCACAAAGTGAGTAAAGGTGAGAGTGCCTGAAAATAAGGCTGCCTTTCTATTTTTCTTTCTTTATTGATTTTTTTTTTTTTTTTAGAGAAAGAGTAAGGGAGAAGGAGAGAGAGGTAGAAACATCAATGAGAGAGAACATCTGTTGGCTGCCTCCTGCATGTCACCCACTAGGGATCTGGCCCACAACCTGGGCATGTGCCCTGACCGGGAAGCGAACCAGAGACCTCTTGGTACATGGGTCAATGCTCAACTAGTGAGCCACACCAGCCGGGGAAGGCCTTCTTTTTAAAGGCCTACTTCAGATTTGATTTTCAGCAAAAACAAATTATTATTATTATTTATAGTTTGTAAAATATTTTTCCTATGTTATTTAATCTTCACTCTAACCCATCAGGTTTTTATACTTTTACATCAGAGTTATGTATGTATTACTCACCTCTCTAATTTTAATATAGAGATAGATTGCTTCTACTAAATTTTATTCTTTGTGAAAGTTTTTTTTTTTTAATTTATTTTTATTGTTGAACATATTACAGATGTTCCCATTTCCGCCGTTACCCACTCCACCCAGCCCTCGCCCTACCCCAGGCCTTCACTGCGCTATTGTCTGTGTCTATGGGCTATGCAATAGGCATATAAATTCTATGGTTAATCTCTTCCTGTTCGTCAGTCTGTTCCAATCTTCCATGTTTCTGGACCTATTTTGTTTGTCAGTTTATGTACTTTTTCATCTTTACCATTGTTTATAAGATCCTCTTACAATATTTACCAATTTTTTAGTCCCAGAAATCGAATACCTATATTCCTATGTTGTATGCTTTCTTATTGTTTTTTTTATCCTCATCCGAGGATATTTTTCTATTTTTTGTTCATATAGAGTGGGAAGGAGAGAGAGGATGAGAGAGAGAGAGAGAGAGAGAGAGAGAGAGAGAGAGAGACATCGACATGAAAGGTACACATCGAGTGGCTGCCTCCCGCACAACCCAACCAGGGCCGGGGACAAACTGCAACTGAGGTACGTGCCCTTAGTGGAAACCGAACCCGGGTCTCTCTGGACCGCAGGCCAACGCTCTAACTCCTGAGCCAAACCGGCCAGGGCTTGTTTTTAAAGGTAAGCTTCCAACTGCTCTTACTAAAGAGTAGGTGGAGATAAATTACCAAAATAATATATTCATCTCTGCTTCTCCTTCCCCAGTGAGTGATTCACTCAGTAGTACGTATATAGAGAGCAGGATCCAGAGGGCAAGCCAGAGGAGTTTGACCAGCATTAGTCTCACTAGCTTCAGGTCTTGATAGTGTGTGCCTTTAATATTTTACTGGAATTGACATTTAGAACATGACATACTAGTGTGTAACACACTCCAAGGCCAAAACAATTTTTTATTATCATGCCAAGGAGAAACTTTGTTGCCATTGGTAATAAAAATTAATAGTACTTTTTAATGCTTTTTTTCCGTTACGCATTTGGGGGGCAGAATATTTCTGAGAAGCAGTTGTTCATTTTGAAATGTGGATGATTTATATCAAGAGGCTATTATTAATGTAAAATTTTATTCTTTGCATAGGTAAAATCATCTCTATTGATACGAGTTCCCTGAGAGCTGCTGGCAGAACTGGCTGGGAAGATTTAGTGAGAAAATGCATTTATGCTTTTTTCCAACCTCAGGGCAGAGAGCCATCTTATGCCAGACAGCTATTTCAAGAAGGTAAAGTTTTCTCTCTCAATATTTTCATTTACTTTGCTCTTTATTAATATTGAATAATTTATGTGAAATTTATGGCTTAATAAGTATTTTCTCCAGATTAGTGTTTATAATAATTAGTTTTAGGACAGGAAGAAATGGGTAAGCAAAGTAATTCATGAGTGGTCCTGACTTTTGGGATGCACATTATAAAGAATAAGGTATAATGTGGCGGTCACTCATTCATTCATGCATTCATTCTTTCAGCAGACATACATCAAATTCTCTTCATATGCATAGAACACTGTGTAAGGTGCCAGGAATACTGTGATAACTAAGAAGCAGGGTTTAGGCCTCAAGGAGCTCAAACTGTATTAGGAGAATATATGACAGTTTTAAAGACTAGTGTGACATGGGCTATATAATAGAGGTATAAGCGAAAGGAGAAAAAAATTAATTCTGACTTGAAGAATTAGGGATGAGAAAGTGATCTTTTTGTTTGGCTCTGGAAGATCATTTCCAGCAGAACAGGCATGTCAGAGGGCTTCTAGATAATACAGAGATCTATACTGTGAATGTTTACTTCATGACCATTACAGTACCTGCATCTCCTGACTCAGGTTGAAGTTTCAAGTTAAGAGTATGTCATATGAAATTAATAATTGAATAGGTGCATCATAGTAAGTCTATGGGAGTATAGAACAAGTATATTCCCTGACCTTAATGAATTTAAAAGTATTATAGGAAAGACAGGAAAAATTATTTTAGAATTAAGTCCAGAAAGTTCATAGAGATTCAGACGTAAGGAATTTTGATGCACTTAAAAAATATTGCCGCCCAACCAGAGTAGCATAATTGGTTGAATGTTATTCTGTGCACTGAAAGGTTGCCAGTCAATTCCCGGTCAGGGCACATACCTGGGTTTCATTTTGATCCCCAGTCTTGTAACCAATCAATGTATCTCACATTGATGTTTCTTGTTCTCTCCCTTCCTCTCTCTAGACATATCCTTGGATAACTATCCTTGGCCGGTTTGGCTCAGCCGTTAGAGCACTGGCCTGTGGACTAGGGTGGACCAGGGTGTCCCAGGTTCGAATGCGGCCAAGGGCGTGTACCTCGGTTCATCCCCGGTTGGGGTCATGTGGGTGGCAACCAATCGATGTGTCTCTTTCACGTCGATCTCTCTCTCTCTTTCCACCCCCTCACTGTATCTGGAGATAAATGTAAAAATATCCTCAGGCGAGGATTAAAAATATAAATAAATAGTATTGCCATGTAATTGTGGTAATTGAATACTCTTTCACAATGTAATTTATTCTCTGATCTCTAAGTAAATAGTTCTTTGGAAAGAGAATCTTTTCATGACTATTCAAAACAATTAAAAAATATTTTGCACTATTCCATCATCTTTATTAATTTTCAGCATTTTCTCATAATATTAGGTTTCCTAAGTTTACAGATAATTTTCCATTCATTACATTTTACGTCAGCTGCTTCCTAATGATATAGAGGAAACAGCTTGCTCCCCCTTCCCCCCAGGAAGCCATCAATATGGATCTCACTATTCAGACTAATGGTTCTCCAGTGGGCCTCTGACTAGACTGATATCATCCCTAAAGATAGGACTGCAGTGAATAGGACCAAGAATCTGTATTTTTTAAAAGTTCCCCAGGGAATACTAAAGTGCAGTCAGGTTTGGAAACCATTACAATATGCAACCAGTACCGCCCCCTGATTGCAAACTTTTGACTGTCTACCAAGAGTGGCGCTTGACTTTTGCATGTATTTCAGACTCAGGTTACTGTTTCCACTCACTGTCTAAAGTGCTGAAGTATATGATACTCTCTGATTTTTTTGCCTTAACTTTATAAATTGGGCCTTCTAAGACTTCACTAAAAACTTTTAATTTTATTTTATTTTATTTATCCTCACCCGAGGTCATTTTTCGATATTTTGTTCAGATAGAGGGAGAGGGAGAGAGAGAGAGAGAGAAACATCGACGTGAAAGCCACACATCGAGTGGTTGCCACCCACACGACCCAACCAGGACTGGGGACAAACTGCAACCAAGTTACGTGCCCTTAGCAGGAACCGAACCCGGGTCTCTCCAGACCGCAGGCCGATGCTCTAACTGCTGAGCCAAACCGGCCAGGGCAAAAAACTTTTAATTTTATTTGCTTATAATTTGCCTATGTTTCCACTGAGGCAAAGCAGGTCTAGATTATTGTCTCATTGTCCAAATGATTAGGCTCCCCATAGATATAATTGAACTACAGTTTAAAGTATATGTTTCTAAACTATTATCATTTTCTATAAAATAGATTGTTTAAAGTGTAATAAGTAACTGATCTGTCATTAACATATGTAGTGAAATGTAAAGAAATACAAGTATAATTCAACACTTCCCCATTAGTCATTTCTTTTTTTTTTAAATTTTTTTTTTTTTTTTATCTTCACCCGAGGACATTTTTCCATCTTTTGTACAGACAGAGTGGGAGGAAGAGAGAGAGAGAGAAACATCGATGTGAAAGGGACACATCGAGTGGCTGCCACCCGCACGACCAACCAGGGCCGGGGACAAACTGCAACCAAGGTACATGCCCTTAGCGGGAACCGAACCCGGGTCTCTCCGGACCGCAGGTGGACGCTCTAACCGCTGAGCCAAACCGGCCAGGGCTCATTAGTCATTTCTTAATGTCCTTTTTTTTTTGAAAAAAATTCCTCAGTAGAAATAATTTGTATTCTTTTCTGAAATTAAGTTGTCCACAGTTCACATGACTCTGATTCTAGTATTTTGGAGATTCTCGACAACTTACCAAATAGCATTCATAGATTTAGCACATCTTTTTCTGATACTTTACATTTATCAGTATCTAACCTGGTAAGAAAAATGTGGTCCATGAAACACATGGGAATCACCCTTACATGAGAATGACCTGCTGAATTAAAATCTCAGGTGAGGAACCAGATATCTTAACAAGCTCAAAGGTAATGCTTAAGTATAGGCATACCTCGGAGATATTGCAGGATCAGGTCCAGATCACCACATTATAAAGAGGGTATCACAGTAAAGCAAGTTGTAATATTTTTGCTGATGGAGGGTCCTGCCTTCAATTTGTAAAAACGCCGTATCTGTGAAGCACTATAAAGTAAAGCACAATAAATGAGATATGCTTGTACATCGGGTTTGAGAACTTGGTCTATCAAGGATGGAGAGAGGTATAAATTGGCTTTGCAGTTTTCTTGCTGTCTCTTCACTTAGGGACAGTGTGAAAAGAGTGGAACAAATTAGGTCACCATATCCTTGGTTTTGTATAAAACTTTTAAAAACCTTAAAAGTTTGTAAAACTCTACAGTGACTAATATTTAGGCAAGAAAAATTTGTTCTCCATCTGTGTTCTTTTTTCCTGCCCATTAATTTACTCTTTGAAGGCAGTGCCTGGTATAAAATCTTAATATGCATTACAAATTTAAGTTGGTTTTATTTCATTTTCAGCTGCTTTTGACAGAGAAGCTAGCTCATGGACTGCTTTTCACATTTTATTTATAGAATCAAATTGAAAACACATTTCAGCCAAAACATATGTGGGAGCATTAGCATGAGCTAGATTATGGCAGTGGTTCTCCATTGAGATTGGGGAGAAATGGCTATCAGGACTACCTGAGGAACTTTTAAACTAGAAGACAATCCATGCAGGTGTATATAGTTTGGGAAGGTTCTGTTCAATTTAGAACCATCTCTTTAAAGAAAGGTTAAATGCATCCCAAAGTTTATCTGGGGAGTTGTTAAACCAGGTATCTGGGCTCCACCCACATTACTGAATCAGAGTCTATAGTCTAAGTTGTTTTCTTACAGAGGAGTAAATACAAACTAGGTTCCACAAGATATTAATAGGTAAAACTAGAAATGATGTTTCCTGCAGAATTAAGTTTGGGAAATGTTTTAGTTGCCCACTTTTGGGGATTCATAAGATATATTTATGGTATTTAAATTTATAGGAAGTTCTGCAATAAAAGATACCTGTTTGACCTTATTACCCAAACTTATTTTTTCTCAGAATACTTCTATCTGTAGCCCATCTAACAGCACTTAGGGAGAGCAGTGGTCATGGGAAATGTTGGGCTAGATAGCCTAGAAAAGTTACGTGAAAGTTCTGTTTACCTAATATCAATGATGTAATGGATTATTTGTCTTTGAAAGATGTCCATGATATGTTGTTACATTGAAAAATAGGCTAAGAAAGTACAGCATATACATATAGTATGATTTCACTCTTGTATATCTATCCAATTCTAGAAGGTTCACAAAATGTTAACAGTGGTTATCTCTGAGTGATGGATTACATTCTTGTTCATTTTTCTCTTATCTTTATAATCACAAAATAAAGTTATTTTCACTAAAAAATGTCATAAGACAGTTGTAAGTAGTTTATAGTATCAAGAAGTTTAGAAGCATTGCTGTAAAACATAAATACCCATATAAATGATTAACCAGAATGTTCTTTGAGACTTGTGTAATGTGGATAATTCTATAGTCCATATAACAGACTTAACTTAAAATATATTTATGTCAAATTTTAAAATATTTAAAATATGAGTTTAGTTTTTTGTTTTTTTTAGAAATTTTGATATACTGACTGGAGTTTACTCATTGATGAATAAAAATCTTAGACCATCTAGGGGTAATTTTTTTTCCTTTATCTTAATAACAGTTTTTGTTTTTTTTAATCCTCACCTGAGGATATTTTTCCATTTATCTTCAGATATAGCGAGAGGGAGAGAGGGAGAGAAACATCGATGTGAGAGAGACACATATATTGGTTGCCTCCTGCACAACCCCTGGGGCTGGGGACTGAACCAAAATCAAGATATGTGCCCTTGACCAGAATCAAACCTGCGACTCTTTGGTCCACAGGCTGATGCTCTAACTGCTGAGCCAAACTGCCCAAGGCGTTAACAGTTTTTTAAATTGCATTTTTTTCTGCATATATCTAGGGAAATACCAGTCTCTACCAGCATTGACCTGTGGTACCTATATTTTTAACCTTCCCATTTAATTAACATGGTAGTTGAAGTTAACTCAGCATCAAATTGGGTGGAGTAGAAAACCCAAGTAGCTCTATTTCTACAGCTGCTATAATCAGAGAAAGCAGTTCCCTTTGCTTTGTAGCTCTATTGAGGCCTATCGGGGGAGGGGGGAGGTGAGAGACGGGAGATAAGAACAGTTGCCATTTTAAAGGTTCTTTGAAGAGTTTCTGGGTTGTCCATAGTGCTACATCAATAATATCCCTTCCCACTAAGTGTTCTAACATTTTTAGAAATGGGCATATGAGTCAGGGATCAAAATACTAGCTATAGCCCTGACAAAATCAGATCAGAAAACAAGGCCAGAACCTATGATCACAATGAGATTCCAGATAGTTTTGTCCAGGCCTAAACCTTGAAATCCACTTACGGTGAAAATTTGGTTTGCAGAGCAAATGTTTATCCATATAGCTCTATAAAGAATTGTAGCTTGCTTCTTCATATCTTAATTTTAAAAATTAGTGATTATTTTATAGAGTTGAAGCTATTGGTGTAAAATAGTGTCTAGGGATCAGCTGAATATGTGTATGATTCAGGTCATACGTACTTTATAACTTGCTTATTTGTTGGGTGTGTGTGTGTATGTGTGTGTGTGTGTGTGTGTTCAGGAAATATTCATTTAGTATCTGCTATGTTCTATTCTAGGCTCCCTGCTAGATATTACCTTATCTCATAACATTATTGGCTTCATTTTAGTAATGATGGTCAAAGGTTGATGTACATTATTAAGTCCTAAACTTGAAAAGGAAAAGTTCCACCCTGAATCTGACTCCTAGGTTCTTGCTCTTTTCGTTAATCCATGCTGCCTTCCTGTTGACCTCTCTGAACAACTGAGCACCAAAAGAATTTTATTTAACTGTATAGTCTTTTTTAGCTTCTAATTAAAGTTTTGCTATATTTAATATTGACATTTTTTTATTTCAAAGAGTAACTGTGTGAATTATGATGTGCTACTTATTATTCCAAACATTATCATCCAAAATAAATAATTGAACTTCAAACCTTAAAGCAATCATTTCCTTGTATTAATAGGGGTTTTTCAATTGTGGGATTTTTACTAGTTTTAGATAAGGTCCTACAAGTTAAGGCAGCATAATTACCAAAGGACTCTTGATGTTTCTGCAATCCACGTTAAGTATCTTAATGTTCCCATGCTATCCTGAGTTTCTAGTTCTTCCTCAATTTATAGGGCTTATCAATAAATCAAGAAATTTGTCTCCACTAATTTCTATTACAAAAGTAAGTCTAGATTCCTATAAGAGCAAACACATAAATTAAAATATAAACATTTGAGAGCATAGCTAAGAGTTAAAGTCTATCCTTCAAGGAAAAGTTACGGTAGTTGATCACAAGTCAATATTAACCTATTCAGATGAGATTTAAGTTGAAGATCGGTCAGCAAGTACTGACTGATGATTTTATGCGCAAAGCATATGCAGAGCATCATTGTTCAAGATTTAATGGAGAATGGGAAACAAGAGTGGGGAACAATACTTGCCCTTATGTTTATTCGAGCTGAAAAAGAAAACTAAGGGTATAAAAAGTTATCTACCTCCTACAAAGAGCTATAAAATAAATGTTTAGAAAGCAATGAGAAATAAGATTAGAAATACAAATCAAAGTTAGATTGTATAGAGTTGTGCTGTCCAGTATGGTAGCCACATGAGTGCTTGAAATGTAGCTAGTGTGACTGAGGAACTGCATTTAAAATTTTATTTCATTTTTTAAAAATATGTTTTATTGATTTTTTAGAGAGAGAGGAAGGGAGAAGGAGAGAGAGATAGAAACATAAATCGACTGCCTCCTGCACACCCCTATTGGGGATTGAGCCTATAACCCGAGCATGTGCCCTGACCAGGAATTGAATCTGAGACTTCTTGGTCCATGCATGGATCAGTGCTCGACCACTGAGCCACACTGGCTGGGCAAGTTTATTTAATCTTAAATTTAAGTAGCCACATGTGATTACTGGCTATCATATTGGACAGTGGTGAAGAGCCAGTGAGGGTTTTCCAGCAGATAGGAGATCCTAAAGAGAAATGAACAAGATGAGAATATAGACAAATGTAATAAGCAAAATAATATGAAATATATTGTATCTTATCTGGTTCTTTATATTTCTGTAGTTTTATTATTATTTCAAATTAATAATTTATCTTAAAATGCCACTTTTTATTGTAATTATATTTTCCAAAAAATACTAATTGGGAATTGTTAACATTTTTTTTAGGATTTTGCTATTGCAAACATTTACTTACATCCTTGCACAAAAAAATTATTAGTTTCCAGAAAGACTCTTTTTCATTATCTATTATTTCATTAGAAACTAAATTTCTTTGTGTGTTATATTTGGTAAATGTGCCAGTGATTTGGCTGAAATTACAAAATGGATAAGGAATTCAGATCATTGGACATAAATCTTTTTTTTTTTTTTTTAATTTTAGAGAGAGAGGAATGGAGAGGGAGAGATAGAAACATCTATGAGAGAGAACATTGATTGACTGCCTCCTGCATGCCCCCCACTGGGGATTTGGCCCACAGTCAGAGCATGTACCCTGACCGGGAATCGAATCAGAGACCTCTTGGTGGGTGGGTCAACGCTCACTGAGCCACACTGGCCAGTCCATTGGACATAAATCTTAACCGTTTCAATGAGGTTTATATCCTGGTTTTGGTATTTAGGCAGATTTATGTACGGTATAGATTTATAACAGATTGTGCCCTCTTCAATTTATATGTTATACCTAAGACAATAAAATAAAGCATGTCTCCTATTTACTTAAAATAATATATATCTTCAAAAATTATTAATCAGTTATTTTGTCTTTTTCACGTCTTTAAAATGTAATTGAAGCCCTTTCTGAAGTGTCTTTAAAAAATAGGAGTACATTTATTATAGGCTAAATTATATTAATTTTGTGGTAGTAATGCTTGTGTTTCAGTGGATATGATTTTTAACCTTTATATAGCTGAATCTACCTATAAGTCTTTCTTAAAATAGAATTATATTGTATTACTAAAAGATCAATGTTTTCTTACTTAGTAGTTTGGTATCGCTTTTATATATTTAGTAAATACCAATCTGGTTAGAATTTTGTCCACTGTTAAGAAAACTTTATAATAAAAGAACATTGTGTTGTTTAGATAGTGAGTTGACTGCCTGCCTTAACCTAGTTTTTGTTTCTTACATTAATAATCACTGGTTTTATTTTGCTTACTAAACTAAATTCAAACATCAAAAATAACCCATATATGAATATAATAACTTGTCAAACAGGATCTTAGTGATTCACATTTCTGAGTGAAAAATTAAATTTGATTTTTAGTTAAGTAATTCTGTAAACCAATAAAAACTTAGAGGGTGACTTTTATGGTATGATGTGAATTATATCTCAATAAAGCTATTATTTAAAAATCAGCTGGCAAAAGAAAAAAAAATTATTAGATATAATTCTGTAAGTGAGAGGGGAGAAGGTTATTTCCTGGTATTTTTAATGGACATAGTAAATTTGAAGGGCTGCCCTATTTCAGGAAAAGATTAAGGTTGGGTTTTTTTTGGCTTGGGGTTTCTTCGTAATCATTACTTATGTGAGGAGGCACCCATTCAAGTAGGAGTTAATTAAAACTTGTCATCAGGTGTTATATTTCAACCAGAATCATTTCCCTCCTCAGAGATCTGATTGGTCTGAACTATTCTTTGAATCTGAGCAGGCAGCAGTTGGGAGGGCATATTAAAAATGAGGTTCTAGGTAGAAGTAAGGCTTGGTAACTCTCCTTTGCCCAAAGTACAAGTATCAGAATTTTAACTAGGTTTCTCTTTTGTTTGAAACAGTGATGACTCGTGGCACTGCCTCCAGCCCATCCTATAGATTCATATTGAATGATGGGACAATGCTTAGCGCCCACACCAAGTGTAAACTTTGCTACCCTCAAAGTCCAGACATGCAACCTTTCATCATGGGAATTCATATCATCGACAGGTATTACTTATTTGGAGAGCTTCATATGAAATAAGTCAGTTCACATATCTCTTCTTAGACAAAAATTTTATACTTTTGATGGCTAGAAAACAGAAATTCTAAATTAGACATTAAACTAGTGTGATGAGTATATATAATCAAAGTATCCACATTGGGTTTTATAGTTTTGTCACCTAACTAGCTTTGTTGTTAAAAAGGGAGACAAGGAAAGGTGAGGTGGAAAATATGTGTTGTAGGGTACAATAAGTGAGTAAAAACGTCCAACTTTTCATATATGAACTTATGGTCTTATAAAAGATTTCAGAGTTTGTTAATATTGTAATTTTTATTTTTAGATGTTTTCATTAGGGCAAACTTTGATGGCTCCTGAGTTCAAGTTGACAGTTTCTCAAACTTCAAATTATTAAACTATCAACTTGAGATTTTTGAATGTCATTGCCCCCGATTTGTTCTCCTCTCTAAATATGTTTTATATTGGTATATATGGTAAATTCATGGCACTATTCTTTTATCCTATGAATTATTCAAAACCCTACATTTACAACTATTTAAAATTTAGCGTTAAACAAAAACAAAGACATTTCCCCTCACATCATCTTTTCCTCATCTGATATATTTGCTTATTGGAACATGATAATACCGGTCATAAATCTGTTGTCATAATTATGGATTTGAGTAAAGAACTCGATGAAAATCTGAATTCAGTATTCTGCTTTTTTCTAATTTTAGTTTAATTTATGCTTGTAAATGGAATTAGCACAGTTCTTTTTTTCATATTGTGATTTCTCTTTCAAAACATCTGCTTGTCACCCTTTTTACTTTTTACATCAGTGGCACAGTATTTTCCTTACCCAGTCTTCCTCTTTGGGATTGAAATATTTAAAAGCAGTAACAAGGGAGTCATGAATAAATGCTTTGTAAACAGAGATGTGGGAAGTTTTCCTTTAAACCAAGAGTATTATTGTAATGTTAATTATTTATAGTAAATTTTGAAAAGTTTAAGAATGCGTATATTAGACACCTTTCCCCCCAAGGCCAAGAAAGATTTTGTTCCCATATAACAGAAACCATTATCAATTTTACAGGACCATAGCACTACTTCCTATTAAGTGGTGCTAATATTTCACAGTAATAGTAACAGTGTACAGTACTGTTTTTCCTTAGTTTAAAGTGACATAGAATTCCTTAATAGCTTGAAATACTAATGAGATGAATGGTCTTGTTTTATAATATACATCAAAAAGTATTTTAATGGAAACCAATAAAGATGTTTGAATAATAGTATCTTTTCCCCCCTAGGGAACACACTGGTCTTTCTCCTCAAGATGACACTAATTCTGGAATGTCAATTCCCCGAGTAAACCCCTCCGTCAATCCTAGTGTTTCTCCAGCTCATGGGGTGGCCCGTCCATCCACATTGCCACCATCCAACAGCAGCATGGTATCCACCAGAGTAAACCGCCAACAAAGCTCAGACCTTCATAGCAGCAGTCACAGTAATTCTAGCAACAGCCAAGGGAGTTTTGGATGCTCACCTGGAAATCAGATTATAGCCAACGTTGCCTTAAACCAGGGACAGGCCAGTTCTCAGAGCACTAATCCCTCTTTAAACCTCAATAATTCTCCTATGGAAGGTACAGGAATGTCCCTTGCACAGTTCATGTCTCCAAGGAGACAAGTTGGTTCTGGATTGGCAACAAGGCCCAGGATGCCAAGCAATTCCTTTCCTCCTAATATTCCAACATTAAGCTCCCCTGTTGGCATGACAAGTACTGCCTGTAATAACAGTAATCGATCTTACTCAAACATCCCAATAACACCTTTACAGAGTATGAATGAAGGACCCAATAACTCTGTTGGCTTCTCTGCCAGTTCTCCAGTCCTCAGACAGATAAGCTCACAGAATTCACCTAGTAGATTAAATATACAGTCAGCAAAAGCCGAGTCCAAAGATAACAAAGAGATTGCATCCATTTTAAATGAAATGATTCAGCCTGACAACAGCTCTAGTGATGGCAAACCTCTGGATTCTGGGCTCCTGCATAACAATGACAGACTGTCAGATGGAGACAACAAATACTCTCAAACCAGTCACAAACTGGTGCAGCTTTTGACAACAACTGCAGAGCAGCAGTTACGGCATGCTGATATAGACACAAGTTGCAAAGAGGTACTGTCTTGCACAGGCACTTCCAACTCTGCCTCTGCTAACTCTTCAGGTGGTTCTTGCCCCTCCTCTCATAGTTCATTGACAGAACGGCACAAAATCCTACACCGGCTCCTACAGGAGGGGAGCCCCTCAGATATCACCACCTTGTCTGTCGAGCCTGATAAAAAGGACAGTGCATCTACTTCTGTGTCCGTGACTGGACAGGTACAAGGGAACTCCATAAAACTAGAAATGGATGCTTCAAAGAAAAAAGAATCAAAAGACCATCAGCTCCTACGCTACCTTTTAGACAAAGATGAGAAGGATTTAAGATCAACTCCAAACCTGAGCCTGGATGATGTAAAGGTGAAAGTGGAAAAGAAAGAACAGATGGATCCTTGCAACACAAACCCAACCCCAATGACCAAACCTGCCCCTGAGGAAATTAAACTGGAGTCCCAGAACCAGGTGGGTAAACCTCACTTCACAGGGTGAACATTGCTAGTTATTTTTTCCTTTTCATTTATTTTACTTGAACCATGGACCAGATTTGGATTCAGGCTATGTTTTGCCCTCTCCTTTTGGGTATATGTTTAAAAGTTGGTTGAAAAATCATAGGGTGCCCTTAAAAGTTCTCTTTGGAACTTTGGAAGGCTACACTATTCTAAGAAAGTAAATTTTTTTTTTTTTTTCATCCTCACCTGAGGACATTTTTCCATTTTTTGTACAGATAGAGTGGGAGGGAGAGAGAGAGGGAGAGAGAGAGAGAAACACTGACTTGAAAGGGACACATCGAGTGGCTGCCACCCACATGACCAACCAGGGCTGGGGACAAACTGCAACCAAGGTACATGCCCTTAGTGGGAACCGAACCCGGGTCTCTCCGGACCGCAGGCCGACGCTCTAACCGCTGAGCCAAACCGGCCAGGGCGAAAGTAAATATTTTTTTCTATAAAATCAGAGTTTACATCTTTGGAGATTTTTAAAAATACCTTTCCTGCTCCCTTCTTTCAACCTACCTATTGAATCCAACTATCTGAGAATAGAAGACAGAAATATATATATATATTTTTAAAGGTAATACTCAATGGAGTGGTAGAGTCTATAGTGACATTTCTACTTTTTTTTTTTAACCTTTTTCCTTTATTGATTTTAGAGAGAGAGGAAGTGATAAGGAGAGCGAGTTAGAAACATCAATGATCATGAATTGGCCGCCTCTTGCAAGCTTTCCAGTGGGGATTTGGCCCACAACCTAGGCATGTGTCCTGACCGGGAATCGAACTGGCGACCTCTTGGTGCATGGGTCAATGCTCAACCACTGAGCCACACCAGCCGGACCAGAAATCTATATTTTAAAGAAGTTCCCCAGAAAACTGATGTATAGTTAAGTTTGGGAATCTTATGACATGGGAGAGAAATGTGAGAAGATGGATGAGACTGCCCACACTTTCTTGCTTTGCTATTTCATTTCTTTTGAAACATTTTCTAAACCTGTTTTCTTCTCATCTGATTCTAATCATACTCAACCCCCATCAGAATAAGGACTTGAGTATTCTAGGTAGTAGAGTATTTAACAAGCCCTGAAACAGAAGTAAATGTTTGTTCGTCTTTGCATAAATTGTTATGGATTAGCAACCTTTATGCTTAGGCTGGGGTGGGGTGGGGTAAAAATTAACAGGCAGCTTCATGTATTGAATAATTGCTGTGAACCCTGAAGGAAGTTAAGACAAACAGAAAATATGGTCCCTCCTCTTTAGGATCTTACAAATTATTTAGACAGAATATAAACATCCATAAAATAGCTGAAAATGTATTGACAAAGCAGTTTATCAATAAGACTATCCATTGTGAAACGAGATCCAAAATTAGGATGCATAGATTCTTTTCTTGAGCCAGCTTTGTTTTCTGCCCTCATCTTACAAAAATCTCTCTCTTCCCTCAGCCGTACTGTACTCTAGGCACATGGAAGTCCTTGCCATTCCTGAGATAAGCCGTGTCTCTTCTAAGCATCTCTTCTGCCTTGCTCTCCTGTCTATATCTGCTGAACTCATTTTCACAAACCAATCCAGACATCATCTCTGTAAAACCATCCCAGTAGCCCTAATTAGTCATTTCCTTCCTCTGCACTTCACAATGCTCTGTATTGTCTCTGTTTACTATTTATAATAACACTGGTTATTTATGTGTGTGCTCTTTGAGAATAAGGCTGTCTCTCATGTTTCTTAGTACAACTAAGCTTATATTGTTTTTAAGATGAAAAACAGCTTTAAATAATGACTATATTAAAACTCTCACTCTTTAAAATTAACTTTAATAGTAACAGCTTTATAAAATAATGCCATTGTGTGCAATCCTGGTACACCTGTTTTGGTGCACATGTACTCGCATTTTTGCTGAGTTTATACCTAAGAGTGGAATTGCAGGATCATGAGATAATGTGTATGTTCATCACTAGTAGATAATGTCAGTTTTCATAGTGTGTGAGAATTCCTTCTGGTTTTCCCATGTCCTCACTAATATTTGGTCTTGTCAGTCTTTTAAAATTTAGCCATTCTGGGTCTGTGTAGTGGTTTCTCATAGTTTTAATTTGCATTTCCCTGATAAATGTTTATAAGTCATTTAGATTTCTTTTTTTGTGAATTGCCTATTGCCCATTTCCCCAATATATTATCTTTTTCCTAATGACTTTTAAGCATTCTTGATGTACTTTAGATGAGTCCTTTATTGGTTTTATATTTGCAGGTATCTTCTCTGTGCCATAGCTGGCCTTTTATTTCTCTTATTGGTGCTTTTGATGAAGTGAAGTTCTTCATTTTAATGTAGTTCAATTTGTCTTTTTTTAACTTTATGGTTAGTATTTTTTGCACACGTGTAACAAAAGACATGTTTAAAAATGTTCACATTAGCTTCATATGTATTAGCCCTAAACTGGAAGCACCCCCAAATCCGTCACAGTAGAAGGACAAATATATTGTGACATATTCATATAATTTGATACTATTAAGCAATAAAAACAAATGGACTGCCCTGGCCGGTTTGGCTCAGCGGCTGGAGTGTCGGCCTGCGGACCAGAGAGTCCTGGGTTCAGTTCCTGCTAGGGGCACGTACCAAAAAAAAAAAACAACAACAACAAAAACAAATGGACTTAGGGAGGAGGTTTTTGGGGGGTGGAGGGGGAGAAACATCTGTAACAAAAATAAATTAAAAAACAAAACAAGCCCTGGCCAGTTTTGCTCAGCGGTTAGAGCATCGGCCTGCGGACCAGAGAGTTCCGGGTTCGGTTTCCGCTAGGGGCACGTACCTTGATTGCAGTTTGTTTCCCGCCCCGGATGGGTTCGTGTGAGTGGCAACCACTCGATGTGTCTCTCTTGCATCGATGTTTCTCTCTGTCTTTTCCCTCCTCTCTCCCTCCAACCAAAAACAAAACAAAAAACAAATGAACTGCTACATGTGAGATGTCATCAGAAATGTAGTGTTAAGTAAAAGCCAGACATTTAAAAAATACATGTAGAGTTCTACTTCTACAATCTAGAACTATAAATTTTAGTTGAATTCAATAATGAATTACAAACAGGCAGACATTTTATATTGATGAATTATCTCAAAATAATCATAGGAGAATAATACAGTGACTAAAGGCCAGTTTTCTTCTATGCATAACCTCAGACAGATGTATGCACTCCCTGATTATTCTAGAAGACTATTTATTAAAAAGTTTCCCATGCTTTTAAATTATAAAAACAGTTATATTAATGTAAATCTATATTTCATTCTATCATAAAGTAAGTTATTTCACAAAATTTTGAAAAAATATGACAAAAAAATCACCCTCGACAGTACTCTTGACACTTCTTTCTAGTTCAATTTTTTTCAACGTGTAAGTTTTATACTGAGATATATTTGATAAATATGTGTATATTATCTAATATCCTGTAGTATATTAATATAAGCATCCACCTTTTTTCCAGTGGAATAGTTAGGTCATATAATTTCAATGAGGCCTCAATCTTTCTAATTATTTCTTCTTTCTTCATTCTTTCATAGTCACATTTAATTCATAGAGTTAAAAGAGAAACCTTTTTCTACATTGTTTCTGGTGAAAGTGTAGAATATACTTTCTCTAACTTTGGTTTCCATTCTTAGTTTACAGCTGACCTTGACCAGTTTGATCAGTTACTGCCTACGCTGGAGAAGGCAGCCCAGTTGCCAGGCTTATGTGAGACGGAGAGGATGGATGGTGCGGTCACCAGTGTGACCATCAAATCAGAGATCCTGCCAGCTTCACTTCAGTCCACCACTGCCAGACCCACTTCCAGGCTGAATAGTATGTGTTGGGGACAAAACCTCATTTACAGTGTTTAATGATAGTGATGATTAGTGCTTTATCTTTCACCGTTATTGCACAGAGCTTTTGTTTGTTGAGAGTGAAGTATCTTTTATTAATGACACTTTAAATAATACACAGTTACATTTAGACATATGACCTTCACCCAACTTACATATTTTAAATTATAGTATAACCCCTGTCTTTTTGTAATTAATGTTAAGGTGAGCGGTTAATGTTAAGAACAATTTTGTGTTCTTACCCAAAACATTCCATAGCAGGATCTTCAGAAATATAGTAATTGGGTCAGATTATGTTTCCTAAAGTGTCTTAAACACTAGTACTAAGAATTGCAAAAAAAAAAAAGGACGGTGCTAAAATACACTGAGTAAATGCTATATGGCATATATATCATTCCTTATTAAAATTCTACCATACATAGTAAAGGTTTCAAGAAGTCCTTTGTTAAAGAAACCAGTTTAATTTCTTTCACTTAGCATTTACCAAACTTTCTTGTTACGGAATGTCCTTTCTTAGGTAATACATATTACTCCACAGAATGAGTTTTCCATGGAGCACTGTTTAGGAGACAACTGTGTTGAAATAATGCAATACTGTTCTGCCCTGGCCGGTTTGGCTCAGCGGTTAGAGTGTCAGCCTGCAGTCCAGAGAGACCCAGGTTCGGTTCCTGCTAAGGGCGCGACCTCGGTTGCGGTTTGTCCCCGGCCCTGATTGGGTCATGCGGGTGGCAGCCACTCCATGTGTCCCTTTCACGTCAATGTTTCTCTCTTTCTCTCTCTCCCTCCCACTCTATCTGAACAAAAAGTGGAAAAATGCCCTCGGGTAAGGATAAAAAATAAAAAAATAAAAAAATAATGCAATATTGTTCTAGCCATATTAGCATTCTCCTAATTAAGAAATACTTGTGATGTTCCTTCATGTTTTTTGTGGTCTGATAGCATTTCTTTTTTACTGTATTATATTTCATTGTGTGGATGAACCAGAGTTTATCCATTCTTCTGTTGAAGAACATATCTAATGTTTTTAAGTTTGACAAGCATGAATAAAGGAGCTATAAATTTTATGTACAAAAAAAAAAAGAAACCCTTTGATAGTATAATACTTCAAATTCATGAAGATAGGACTGTCAAATATTTTTACCTATCACATTTTGAAGTTGAAAACAAACAGTGGTGATAATTCCATTGTGTGACTTTGAAACTAAAAGAAACTAACCAGCTCAGTTTCAAAATTTGCCTGGGTTCCTGAACTAAGAGTTGTTTCTTTTCAGCTGTCATGACACAATTCCTGAAAGTTTACCAATTTCCAGGTAGCTGTAAAGAAGAATCTTGAGTCACCTCTGACATTTTTGGAAGCAGTTTTTTAACTGACCAGAATACTAAATGAGAGCAGGCGCTTAGGTTCAAATCTCACATTCTCCATTTTATTAGTAGTGGTATCTCTGTTCATCTTTCATGTTAGCATACGAATTTTCTGAGCTTTATTCTCTTTATCTACAAAATAATATTAGATGAGATGACTTCAAAAGTATCTTCTAGTTGAACCTGAGAGTCTCTAGACTCTGGAACATCAGGCACAGTTGTGGAAACAGTAAGGTGCAAGCTGAAAGGTGATAAAATGGAAGTCTGCATATTGATTGGTTTGATCCTGGTACCTTTCTCCACCCAGTGTTGGAAACTGGAGAAGTTTATCAGAAGGCGCTGAATGGCTATAAAGAAGATGTCTGGATGTGGGTATGTAAGGAGAGGGTCCTATAATTTGAAGGTTATCCTGCCATCTAATTATCCAACAATGAAGGTTACCAGAAGACAGCACAGTCAACCCCCTCCCAGTTAGTGTTTGAGAACTGACTAAACAGACACAGAGTTCATCAGGACTTTTTTTTTTTTTTTTTATCCTCACCCGAGGATATTTTTCCCTTTTTTGTACAGATAGAGTGGGAAGGAGAGAGAGGAAGGGAGAGAGAGAGAGAAACATCGACGCGAAGGGACACATCGAGTGGCCGCCACCCGCACGACCGACCAGGGCCGGGGACAAACTGCAACCGAAGTACGTGCCCTTAGCGGGACCCGAACCCGGGTCTCTCCGGACCACAGGCCGACGCTCTAACCTCTGAGCCAAACCGGCCAGGGCGAGTTCATCAGGACTTTGAGGCAAGTGTGGAACTTGAAAGAGAGCAACAGAAACAAACAGAAAAAGAATATGCAATGGAACTATACAATGAGTGCATGGATTTAAAAAAACTACTAAAATTTTGACAAGTCTTTATTCATGAGTAATATGGGAAGAAAAAAAAGGGACAAAGAACAAGAAAGAACTTTTGGAAATTAGATAACCAAAATTTTAAATTTTCAAGAGAAATATTAGAAGATAAAGCTGAGGAAAGCTCCCAGAAAGAACAAAAGGACCAAAAGACAAATATAAAATGGGGAAGAAAAAGTTAAGATTGACCTAGGAGGGCCAGTAATGATTACTGAGAATTCTGGAAACAAACAATAAGGGAGAGTGTGGAATGGAGGAGAAGATACTTTCAAACAACAAAATGTAAGAGAATTTTCTAGAACTGAAGGACAGTTCTCCAGATTGAGATGGTTCATCAAGTTCCCAACACACACACACACACACAAAAAGGGTCTGTACTAAAGCTTATCAGATAATTCTGGAATATCAGACATAAAGATTCCAAAAGCTTTCATAAAGAAGATGTGAAGTGCATACAGTGAATGAATCATAATTGTCAAAACTTGGAAGCTATTAAGCCATGAAAAGACAGGGAGAAAGAAGCCTTAAATGCATGGTGCTGAGTGAAAGAAGCCAATCTAAAAAGGTTACATACTTTATGATTCCAACTATATGACATTCTGGAAAAGGCAAAACTATGGAGGTAGTAGAAAGATCAGTGGTTGCCAGAGGGAAGGATGAATAGGTGGAGCACGGGATTTTTAGAGCAGTGAAACTATTCTGTATGAAACTGTAATGATGGATACATGTTATTATTATACCTTTGTCAAAACACGTGGAATATACAACACAAAGAGTGAACCCAACTGTGGGATTTTCATGAAAATGTATCAGTATTAATTTATCAATTCTAACAAACATACCACACTAATGCAAAGTGTTAATGATAAGGGAAACAGCCCTATCTAAAAAATTTTCAAAAGATTTTAAGAGATCCTTCATAAAAGAAGATTTGAAAATAGCTATAAGCACATGAAAAGATGGTCAATATCTAATAATTAAGGAAATGCTGATTAAAACTTTAATACAATACTTCTACACACCCATTGAAAACTGACAATATAAATGATGGCAAAGATGTGGAGCAACTTAAATTTTTGCATTGCTGGTTGGAATATAAAATGGTAAAACAAATTTGGAAAATTGTTTAGCAGTTTCTCATGAAGTTAAACATACATCTACTGTATATTCCAACAATCCAAAATTTATGTTTAGATCCAACAATCCAAGTTTCCCCCCCCCCCCTTTTTTTTTTTTTATCCTCACCCGAGGATATTTTTCCATTTTTTGCACAGATAGAGTGGGAGGGAGAGAGAGGAAGGGAGAGAGAGAGAGAAACATCGATGTGAAGGGACACATCAAGTGGCTGCCACCCGCACGACCAACCAGGGCCGGGGACAAACTGCAACCGAAGTACGCGCCCTTAGCGGGAACCGAACCCGGGTCTCTCCGGACCGCAGGCCGACGCTCTAACCGCTGAGCCAAAATGGCCAGGGCCCCCCCTTTTTTTTCATTAAATTTATTGGGGTGACAGTGTTTAATGAGATTATATAAGTTTCGAGTACATAGTTCTGTGATACATCATCTCTATATTGTATAGTGTGCCCACCATATATTTGAAAGACTGTGCCTTCAAAGACTTGACCACAAATGTTAATATAGCTTTCTTCATGATAGCCCAAACTGGAAACAATCTAAATGCCCATCAACAAGGGAATGGTATATTCATAAAATGCAATACTGCTCAGCATTGAAAAGAAAAGAACTACTGGTACGTGGCATGAATTACTCTCAAAAACATGCTGAGTGAAAAAAGTCTAGGTCTACAAAATCTTGTCAGACAGTGGGAGGGTAAGGCAGGGCAGATTGACGGCCAAGGAGCTTGAGGGAACCTTTAGAAGTGATAGAAATACTGTTTTTTTGGTTGAGGTGGAAAGTTATGGGTTTATACTTTTGTCCAAATTTATTGAAAATGGTCACTTTAAATGGGTGTATATTGTTGTATGTAAATTATACATTAATAAAATGCACTTTAGAAGTATCTGAGATTAGAATGATTTTTAACCTATTAGTAGGCATTCAAATTACCAGTAATTGTAAAGGTGAAATAAAGATATTTTTAGATATGAAAGAGCTCATGTATTTGCATGGCATATTCACCTTTTCTAGTGAAGGTCCTAGAGGATATATTTCAGCAAACAGGAGAAAACCCAAAAAGAGGGAAACAGGACGTAAAAGGAAGCCCAGGAATGATACTGATCAGCAAGATTAGGGAACAGCCAGTGTAAAGCTGGACTGGCCTGAGTCCTTTGGAAAGGGGGCCTTGAGGGAAAAAATGGAATTGCTTCTTTGAGTTTATAGAAAATATTACTGATTGATAGGTTTATATAAAAAATGTAGATGCATCTAAAAAATAGAAAAGCACCAAGAGAAAAAAATAAGATGGTTGTTAACTCCAGAAAAAGAGAGCACGGTGAAGAAAGGAGGTTTGAACACAATGCACATGTGACTTAGCAGTGAGTAATATTGCATAATCATCAGAATCTACATATTAACTTTTAATTTTATAAAAAGCTGTGATCTCTGTTAGGGAATTGGAGACACAGAAGGTAGTAAGAGGTGTGGGAGAACTAAGTCCTCATCTATCATGATGGGAAGTCAGTGATCTAAAATTGGAATATCAAGAAGTAGCAGCATATACATATGTAGAAATAAAAAGGCAAATGCCAAAAAACACA